CATTGTAGAGTTCCAGATCTGAAAGAAGACAAAGAAAACAGTCATAACGCAGAAGCCAAACTCCCCATCGGCAAATGACAGCATTGAAGCGCTACTTATTCTACAGCAGGATAGCTGAGCCTTCACCCAGTCTCCCTCATCCTCCCCAGTTTTCCCAAGGCAGCCACTCTCTCATCGCTTGCTTTCTGGAGGGCTGTTTTTAGGCCTGCCAGCTGCACAGTCACACAAGGTCCACTGCAAGGCAAGAACCACGCGGTCAGGGGTGGGAGAATAATCAGACCATGGCAATGATCTAGACTGGCTCCAGCTTTGACTCAGTCCCTACAGTTTGTCAGTGTATTTTGTACAGAATTTTCCCCATGTCACTCTCCTTTTCTACATTCTACTCCATATCTGGCAGCTTGAAGAAAGACCTTGTCCATAAGAAATGACAATCGGGCTCTTACTTATTGAAGAAGAGTTCAGAACTCAAAGTGAATTTGTCATAATATATATTCTTACTTACCAAATGGACTTTTATCTTCTCTGAACTGGACATATGACATGCACATGATGGTTGCCTGATTTGTTACTCTTCCCACTACTTCAATAACTCCCGAGATCTCTTCATCTAGCTAGAAAACACACCACATATGAAATTAGTATCACTAAATCAGCTGCTGTCTCTACTGCACAGCACTTAAGCTAGCAACTCTCCACAACTGACAGTTTGTTCATGGCAGATTCTGTTACATGTCAAACAGTACAGTACTACTCAACAGCCCTGTCCCCCTCCCAAAAGAACCCATAAAAGCCTCAAGCCACTTACAGATTGACAGTTTTTCTAACAGCCCATTCAGTACCGACATAAAAAAAATACATGAAGAAGCATTAGAGGGATTAGAGAGCAGTTCCAGTACTCCAGATTCAGGAGGTATAACTAGAAATTATTTAAGTAATCTGTCAGTAAGCATTCAGAATACAAAGACATGGACAATAACAAGCCTTGAACAAGGGGAAAAAAAGAAGAGGCTAAAAATTTTATCTTACTCCCACATCATATAGCTTGAACGTGTTTTCTTTCTTTAAGATAGTAATTTTAAGAGTGTGGGACTATTTCAGTATTGTTCTTCCAATATCTAACTCTTACTTTTAACTTTCTAGTAAGTCTCCTGGAACACAGCAATAGATTCCCTCCCCTTGCCATAACTTTGGGTTTCTCTGTTGAAAGAAGGAACTACACACACACAAAGGAATTTATTAATGGGGAAAACAGTTAGAAAGCATTTTGATTAGCAAATCTTGAAGTTCCTCCACTGACATCAGGCAAAACAGAGAGATGAACCTGGCATATTTTTTCTGCGCATACCAGTTTCTCCTACAGCAGTGGAACACAGACTGTGAAGTGCAAAACATTGCAGCTATGCATTTATGAAAACTGACCATCTCCTCAGTTGTAGAAAGCTATGGAATCGTTCCTCAGGTGCTGACATCTGAAGTTTTAACAACCCAAGGCAGGAAACCTTTTCATGAACTCAAGAAAGAGTTAAGAGACGGGCAGAACTTGTAGGAAAGACATTTTCTTGCAGTTTGAAGATGAAGTCAGCAAGCTTCACATTTAGAAGACAAAACTCGTTGCCATATCAAACTGCATGTCTCACCAACAAGGAGACTCCTGTCTTGAAAGTCAGAGTACCATGTGCGGTTATTTCACATGGAAATGGTGAGGTTTCTCAGTGTTTAACAACTCAGAGAAAAAGATGTAAAGACTACACACGTGCTCAGTTAAGCTAGAGCATTTGCCATCACAACAAAAATAATCCTTTAATTACAACATTCGCTAGAGGAAAAAAAAACTGCTTAAAGACAGAAAAGAACACCAGGGTGTTACTCCTTTAGTGGTACGTGGTAACAAAGGAAGCAACATTTTTGTGCAGTAGTTATAAGCATATCTTATACCCATTGCATTGATTTTTTAAGAAAGAATGCTTAAAGCTAGCTATGAAGTTTACTGGAATGCTATGACAAGTATTCTAAGAGAACACAGAAATGTCAACTCAAAAAACCTCTTGAGAATACCATATTCTTGGGGTTTTTGGATTATCGTCACAAAGTATTCTGTTAGGCATATAAAGGCAGTAAGAAAAAGGGAGGAAAAAGTGAAATTAAAATAAAGCTAACACATGTGGTGGGAATACATTACACTGTAAACAACAAATAGAATAAGACAAAGCAGCCAGACAGGGATGTGTCTGACAAGGAGTGAGTTCTCTCTCTTAACAACAGCTGAAAATTGATGAAGACCAAGGCAGTTCATGAATACGAAGACTGCAAGTTAGCTGGAAGATGTAAGAAGCAGAGGCAATGAATCATAGGTGGAAAAGGGAGAAACCAGGGATTTTTATTTTTTTTTCGCCTTGACTAAAAACTCAGCCCATGCAAGGCACGCACAGCTTTCAGAAGGAACAAAACCTCCGGTATCCACAAGAGGCAACGTCAAGTATTTCTAAAGTATTCCTTAACTTACAGGTTCGCTCAGCTCCACAGTCGTATGTTTCCCTTCTCCATCCGAAAGCACGAAAAGCTTCCCGCTAGGGTGAATCTAGAAAAGACATGAGGCCTGGGAGCTCAAAAAGTGGCCTTCCCCCGCGGGATCCGATCGATCCCACCACCAGCACCAGCACCCACCAGCAC